AACTCTGGCACCAGCCTCAGATGAAATCAAGACTTGAATATAAGGGAAGCTTTGACCTCAGCTTGCCGAGTTCACGTAATCTGCACTGCCTGAATATGCGCTTCCATATCCACAAATTCTAGATTGAATGCAAATTGGTAGCGGATCCTCAGATTGGCTATTACCAGATGTATTTTATCGTTCCCCCTTCGGCCCCTGACAACCTAGCAAGGAAGGCTTTCTTCGCCGTGGAATTTTGAATGCGATGTGGCCTATACAATGACTTGCGGGGGCCAGCCGATGTACAAGTCAGTGTTTTTATCCTCCCAGACAAGTCTGGTACCAATTAACCGACCCCGGAGGGATGGAAGGCTTGGTTGGCCCGGGCGACTCACGACCCAGGATTTGATCCCCGGACCGCTCGCGTGGTAAGCGTGCCACTTGCCACTACACCACTTCCGCCCTTAAATAGAACAGTCAAGAATGCTGGTACAACTATGGAGCCCAAATCTGCTATACCTGAACTTTCCAAGTTGTGAACGGTCAAAGGTGACAGGAAGTGTAGCGTCACTATATAGGTTGGCTAGTCTTTCCGCAGCAGCATTGTGATTTTATCTGGAATTTTGCCTATAAGGGTGAATTGCTGGAAAGATAAAGAAAAACATATCTATTATTGAAACATGTGCCATCTGGCGCCAATTTTTCACTGCATTTCGTGCAACTTTGACCGCTCACAGCTTTCTTAAAAAGTTCACGTAGCAGTTCTGGTCTCCATATTCATGACGAGTATTCTTTACTTCTCGATTAATCTAGATCTCCAACCAAAGTTTCATGGGAGGCTGAAGTGTTCCCTGGTTAGGCGTGAAGCGTGCACTACCTAGTTCTAGAGTCAGGCGATTTTTTTGACCAGTCTATTTCCCAGAAGTTTCGCAGTAGGTTCTTGAGTATCTCCCGAATATGCCGAATATCCTGGTTCACAACTCGTTCCCCGACAAAGTGCATCCGCACTCTTTAGCCGCCGAGCAAAAACTACTCAAGACCGGTGTTCAGGTTTTATGAAAAGACAGCACGCTTATCGCCCGTATAGCTTCGATCCGACTTATCCGCCGATTGACATCAGGGAAACAGCTAGTCATCCGTCTCATTTCAGGTGTACTGTGCAAGTTGGCATCCAGCCTACGACATTCGAGCGGTCACGACCGCCGAAGGCGACCAGGACAATTCGATCAAGGTATGTGTGGGCAGAATAAGCCGATCATGGCCTTATTTAACGCAATTCCGAGCTTCGGCGCTCGCTTATCGTGTAATCGTTGACCCTCAGTAGAGCGCTTATCGTTTCCACCTACACTTCGTCTGTCGTAAACCGGCGATAGGGGAACGAGTCAGCCAGTTGAACTTTGAGAGGGGTGGAATGATCACAGCGCATTAGCTGGCCAGTTTATTGAGTACATTCCATTGGTTCAGCTGTGTTATTACGGACTGGTGGAGCAGAACACTGGCGATGACTGGAACGACACCGACATGGTGCTGTCGACGTCGACCCCATCGGTCGGAGGATGCGCACCACAGCTGGCCACACTCTCCGCGAGCATTCATCGTCCTACCAGTAGTGAGTTCATTTGCGCCTCTGTATTTTTATCGTATTAGGGTCCATATAAGCCAACAGGGCGTCCAGACGATGCATATAGTTCACCTACAGGAATAGACTCATATGAAGCGCATAATTCGGGCGCTTAGTTCACCTATAACAACTTCGAGTAACTGAGGGCGTATTCTTGGAAAGGTGTTGATAATTCCTATCAGTGTCGAATAAGGTGATTCCAAATGAATAAGCTGATCATTGACCCTGTCGAGTACCGCAGTGGGGCAGAGTAACCAGTTTTGGGGAAATAAATGGGAACGGAATGGGATGCCCATTAGAATCGCGCGTTTTTTGGCAATAACCAGAAGAGTGCACCGCAATTCTCAGTAGCGGCTATTTTAAAGGCGAACCCCCCTAGATTAAACTGGGCTATGGCGCTTCTTAGCTGCGGAAGGCGACCTGAAAGTGGAAAGGAAAGCAAGAGAAATCCTTGGGAACGCTGCAATTAGGCCTTAACCTTTAATAAGGTCGAATGTGGTGCGATGGCGAGACAGGGCGATCAAAGAAGACAAAATACGTGAGAGATCACGCCGTTCGAGAGAGCACGCCGATATCGAGGTGGGTGGGAAGCGTTGCAACGGGGGTCGATGGTTGCAGGCCCGTAAGGATTAGCGCCCTAACCGCGCAACTTTTGCGGCGAAGCTGGGGTGATCTGGGTAGGTACGGACTGTACAATTTCCCTCGCGGTATCCAGCCTGCTAGTCGGGCTAATTCCGGGTTTGCCTTTAAGGGCATTCAACCCAGAACGCCGTATCCGATATTCAACCCCATTAGCTTTGTATCAGCACCTAAACGACAGCCGTGCATGGGCGGCAATACACCTAAACCATTTTCCCACATTTTTCACCAGCATTTATTATTTATCAAAAAAATCATCTCATATTCCTTTTTTTATTTTATTGACTCACTTAAGCCCTTATGAGGGATCCGATCCACCAGGGCGAGCCCGGAAACTGAAAAGGTGCTCCAGATACGGATTTCATTATGGAGGGTGTAGGGAAAACCGAAAAGCATCCGCGAGTCCCTTGACGTGAGGTGGCCTTGACTAATCGAAACAATTCACTGGATGAGTAAGGCACGCTGGTCTGTTACCGAGGTGGTCGTTCCGATTAATCTGCTTGGAAGTCATAAGGACGGCGAACCTTAGATCGTCAGGGAAAGTCCATCAAAAACTGCGCGATCGAAGGTCATTACGTGACAGGAGGTAATTACGATCATGATCGCAGTAGAAAAAGTGTTTGGTGTTCTGGTGATGAAACTGACGCACGCAGGGAAACGAGGGCAGTCTTTGGGTTTCCAGTGATGTCAATTGACGTCAGCTCATTTCAGCACCCTCATTTTTTGCCCTGCTTTCCCACATCTCCCGCCATCACCTCTAAAAAGAGTACTTTTTTATCAAGAACTTCTGGGTATTCCTTAGGCATTTTTCCTTTGTGAGTAAGCCCGCGAATAACCCAAATCCTAGCTATTAAAGGCAAGATTCGGGATAAAATAGGTGTGGGAAAGCGTTCAGTTATGAAGCTAGAGGTGGGAGGTGGTCTGGAAAAGAGAAGGAAAGCAAACGAAACCACCGATTACGCCCCGCACAGAGACCTCCCTATTTCAGCCTTGGGATAGGAGGGAGGGACGGGCGTTGGACGAAAGATTCCCGAACCCAACGCCTATTTGCCCTCGCAGTGCCACTAAACATCTGGGTCATATATGGACCGCTGCTCAAAATGCGCCTCGTTTTTTTTCCAACTAGCTTTCAAGGGCGCTGACATCGAAGAGTGGGCTTGCGGACAGACAAAGGTGTGGCTTGCGCGGCTCGACGAGTGCTTGGTCGCATTTGTAGCGCAAGTTATCAAGGCGGCAAAGGGCGCGACATGCAAGGCTTTCGCTCCGGCTCTGTCTACTACCCCAGTAACTGGGAAGCAGGGAAGCGCCGGTGAGGGACTCAATGACAGACAAATCGCGCGTGAGAGGCTAAGATAAAGCACTCAGTCAAGTTGCTTTTGCGCAAGGGAATGGGCATTGTGGTATTTAAAGCCCTCGTGTAAAACATCTCCTACTTCCAGAAGCGAACTTAAGGCTTGAGAGAGGAGAGACTCCAGAGAAGTGCGTAAATTTTGATTTTTATTACGGGAATTCCTGCCCCCTTCTAGGCCTAAGTCACAGAAAATGCCCCCGTATCCTGCGATAGCGCCTATAGTCAATATGCCATCAACATGGTAAAGAAAGGCATGCTGAGACTTGACAGCACGCTGGACTTGGAATCCGACACATAGAGCAGGTTTGGGGCTCCTTCGAGCTCTACTCTTTGCCCAACGCTCAGCGCCCTTGGACTGATCGCCTTTTCCAGATTTCTCGAGAGGTTCTTAACCATCTTGCTGAACAACTTGTTATATTTTAAAATTACCATCTAATGTTGCAACTTCTCAAAAAGAAACTCATGACCTTATGAAGAATTTCAAGTCTAAATGGCAACATTAACAGTAACCTGTTTCCGAATGATTCCATACCTGGTTTTCAACCAATGAAAATCACGAATCGCTGGGTTATGACTGATCGATTAGGGCAACACGGTCACGCTTCATCCTGCGTCTCAACTATGGGTTTGTATTGTGTAATAAATGCACCAACAATGAGAAATAAAAGATTCATGAGTTTATTGGCAGACCTATAGAGGGCAGTGAATGACACTTCTCATCATCAATCATCATCAAAAGAATTTCTGAGGCCTTGAAGGCAGCGATTACCAAAAATTCAAGAAGGGCCTGTTATGAGGTGGTGGCGCTCAATGGGTTACGCCTGTGCGAAAAGCAGAAAACATTACGCGCAAGAAAAACGCAAATCAGCACCCCCTCCCCCCCGCCTTTTTGGAGCCGTTGATCTTCATCATCAACAGGTAGCAGCTCAGAAGTGGAGCTATGAACGAGTTCACCGCAACGCGTTTGATGGCACCATTGCCGAATCACGCTTCAATTGAGATGCTCTATTTGCCACGCAGCTCGTCCATTTATCACAATGGTGAAACTCCAGTTCGGGGGGGGGGGGCACTCCATTTTTTCTCCAATACTCAAGATAAGGATTAGAGGGCTCACGACACGTAATCGACTCATTTAAAGTAGACTTCTGATAAATATTGGTGTAATGGGTGAGAAACCCTGAAACGTTTTCACATTTCCGCCTGCCATGACCCAAGGGAACGGTCCTGGACCAGGAGAAAGGACACCTCCGCAAAGGGCTAAGGGTGCAGGAGCTCCAGGGTGGATCACCTGTGCAGAAAAGTGGATGGGATGTGGGCAGGTAGTGTGGAATGTAGGACATCCACCGGTCCTTATCAAAAGTACGCTCGAAATGAGTCGTTCACTTATTATCTTATCCGTAGTGTTCGATAGCCCAAAGAACTGCTCTCTAGTACTACGGATAAGATAGCAATGGAGTGCCCCCCCCCCCCGAACTGGAGTTTCACCGAGCTGAGTTTTCACCCCAACATGTAACTGAATGGGCGATGCGGCTTGAAGGGCGGAGCGCTTTCGAAGTCCTGCTCAGCAACCAGCGCGCCTTTCCTTGTGAAAGCGCTACACTTTGCCTCCCTGGCACCAAGTAACTGCTTCGTGTGATGCTTATGCTTCTCGGATGCGCTCCCTCTTTATCGTAATCGCTGCCTTTAAGTTATCTATTCTTATGCGTGCAAACCTGCGCGTTCATTAATACACAGGGGGAGCGGCGCAAATAAAAAAACGTTTTACATCCACATTAACTGGATTTAAAGCGCACTTTAACTAGATTCAAGCCCCGCTAAGCTACTTGGCAGTTGCAGTCTAATTCTGGCTTCGCAAAAAAATTCGAAGTGGCATTCGCCTCCCACCACCTTTCCGGCAGAACTCTCTCTTTTTGAGTTTTTCAAAATTGAGGGATAAACTTTAACTTTTTTCTAACCATGACGTCGGTCAGTATGTAAACGTGAACTGCAAGTACACGTAGTTTGCTGAGCCCCAAAAAAACCCTCCCAGTTGTGGGCCGCGAAACATTCCTAAGAATCTTCAGGAAACTCACCCTTGCCGTCTAACGGAAGACCATTGAGCGTTGGTTCTCAATTGCCCTATGACGAAACCCCGCAGGCAGGGTCAACCCTACGTTGTCTACAAAAGAGCAAACAGGGGGGGGGGTCGTAGTTTGTTGAAGTTTGTGGTGAGGGTGTCGTACTTGTTTCGACAGCGTGAAATTACATGTGATGACGTGAGAGAGAAAATTTGCCGTTTCAGCGTTATATACCCCCCCCCCCCCCGCTCGACGGTGTTTTTTGAGGGGAAAAGTGGCTGTGAAGAGGGGGTCGTATGAAACTTCTCGTGAAGGAGGGGGGTCGTAAAAATTTTGCAAAAAGTAGCAACGATAGGACCGACCCTGCCGCAGGGTCAATGGTCGCGTTGGAGAGTCCTGAAAGAAATCAGCATGTTCCTCTCCCAACTCCTCTTAGTCAGGATCTTCAACCCCTCTCAAAACCTTCTTATAATAGTCGGCATAGGGTAGTTTATGATGTACCTGGCACATTATGTTCTCCATAAGGTTGATTGATGAACAGGAACACGGGGAAGGCGACTGCTAAGACGCCAAAAGGGCAAAAAACCGCATAGTTCTCTGATAATGTCCAAGACCCTCCAAAAATTCAACCCTTTGAGAAGTTATCCTCGCATGTCTTTCGAAATCACAATGCCGACCCCATCACATATGATCCTCCATTGAAGTTGGCCCGAATCCAAAACTCGACCTTGACCTGAATCGATGTTCTGAGAGACAAGAAGATTCAATTTGAACGTTTTCACTGCCTTCTATTCGATAGCCTATCGACAAAGGTAAATCCCAAAACGTTCATGGGGTTCCCTTCCTAGGTTTTCGATCGGAACGAGTAGAGAATCCTATGGAAAAACAAAACAGCTATGCACAAACGAATTGATCAATTACCGTATCCGCCAAGACGACT